TTTTTTTTTTTTTTCTTCTCGGTTAAATATTCTTCCTCCGCCGACCGTGATCCCGCCCTTTATCGCAAAGTCTCCTGGGTTTTTCCCTCCCAATCAGAAACTCTTTGCGCTCCAAAGAAGTTGGAAGCACCCAGATGGAGCGGAAATTGTGTTTTTGTGTGCCAGGCTGCTTTTCTGTCGCCGCTCCTGACCCACAAAACAGCCAAATTCAGCTCAGCCCAAAGCCTGTATAGCAAGATACTCTCGCAGTCATGCAGAATTTGGTGGGGTAAATATCTGCCTCATCATACTTTTAAAGTCTACTGAAACCAACTGCTAAAAAAATAGTTGTGACAGAAAGAAAACGCTGGCAAAACAGAAGCATTTTGTGTTTTTATTTAAAAGATGGTCCATCCGGAGTGTTGCTTCTGATTTGAATTCCTAAAAAATCTGCTGTTTCCTCCCTTGCTCTCAAACAGGAAGAAGAACTGTGGTTGTCTTCCGCTCGTCTTGTTTATTGGAACCCGCCTTCCTGTTTTCAGATTCATCCTGATAATGGCTGAAAGTCCCCAGCTGAAAAACTCCGCACAAACAGACGCTCTCCCTACCGTCCTGGCCCTCTCGTTCTTTCTGTCTCTCTCTCTCGCCCTCTCGCTGTCTCTCAGATGGCTGCTAGATAAGTCTTTTTTTTTTTTTTTTTCTACGAGACCTTCCCCACACATTCCAGCCGTCCATGTGCGTGCCAGGTGAGCTGGTACATGTGTCCGTTTAAGTGTGTTTAAGGCCCAAGCCCGACTGATTTACCCAAACTGATTGCAATTGCAGATCAAAGTGTCAAATGTCAAAGTGTGAACCGGTAGGACGGTCTCAAATGTGTGTGTGTGTTTCAGGGATAGTGCCATGTGCACCCAGGCCAGGGAAGTATGCAGGTCAGTGCAGAGGGAATGTCAGGAATGTCAGTGTAATTCAAACTCTCTTGTACGACCGGAGGCAACCTGGACATATTTTTAATGCCAGGAGTGGGCAAAAATGTTAATCTGTGTGTACTGCAGGAGTAGCAGAGCACTTCAACATGCCAGAGTCGAAGCTCGCAACGTCTCCTTGAACTGTGCAGTCCTCCCCAACGCGAGGACAAAGTTACACAGTGTTTCAGCCTCAGTGTTCCCAAACACCTGCACTCAAAACAAAATCTGACCGACCTCCCAGCTGTTCTCGCATGCGTTACACCTCCTGGATCCAGTTCCCAGGCTTTAGTAAGCCTTTCATTTGATATCACAACATATCTGCTCCCCCTCCACCACCACCACCACCTCCTCCTCTTCTCTCCCTCCCTCCCTGTCTGGCTGGACGGCTTTTTCACGGCAGCCTGTTTTCACTCAGCGGCTTTGACAAAGACTGGCGAAATAATTACAGCTGGGCCCTAAACTCAGCGAGTGTTTGTCTCCGGTAATCTCCAACCAAACCCATGAGTGTGGACCGAGTCATAGGAAGAGGAGGAAGAGGTCGATTGTTTCTGAAAACGAGTCAATGACATCATTTCAAAGAGCCCCGCTCGGGGGGTGTTCAACACTCACGGTAAACAGGCAACAAAGTCAACTGGCTGTAATGTATACACGGCTCTCCAAACATCAGCCGAACTTATCATTTCAGACACAAGCCCGTCTTGTTGAGAGTCCATAAATCTGTCTGCCTCCATTCATTCATTCCTTGTTCTTTTTTTTCCCCTTCGTTCCCCTCTCCCACTTTGTGCCACTCATACAAATTGCTCTTTTAATGAATTCATTTTCTAGAGATAAGCGCCTGGTTTTATGTCTGCGTACACTCAGAGAGATAAAGGTGCTGACTGAAACCAGAAATGGTTCTTTGGAGTGATGCCATAGAAAAAACGTCAAAAAAAAAAAATCCTTAAGGCACCATAAATGATGCTTTCAAAGAAAAATAGCCTCTTCAAGAAACTATTTTCGAGATATTTCTTTCTGGCAAAGCACCTCTTTTGAATAATTCTTCAGTAATTTTTCAAAATAAAATGCCTCTTTGAGCATTTCAAATCTAAATACTGTGTGTAGATTGAAACACATTAACATAGTTGAGGACAAGTAATGTCTTAAAAATGACAGCTTTAAACACCAAATCGGTCTCTTTGTGAAGAAACATAGACCCCTTAAAGCTCGAATTAACTTCCATCCATCCATCTATTATCTATACACCACTTAATCCTCACTAGGGTCATGGGGGCTGGAGTCTATCCCAGCTGACTCAGGGTGAAGGCAGGGGACACCCTGGACAGGTCACCAGTCTATCACAGGGCTACACTTAGAGACAGACAACCAAGCACACTCACATTCACACCTACGGACAATTTAGAATCATCAATTAACCTCAACATGTTTTTGGACTGTGTGGGAGGAAGCCGGAGAACCTGGAGAGAACCCACGCTGCACGGGGAGAACATGCAAACTCCACGCAGAAAGATCCCGGTGCCCCCACCGGGACGCGAACCGGCGACCTTCTTGCTGCGAGGCAACAGTGCTAACCAGCTGCGCCTCGAATTAACTTCTCTACTGAAAATCAAGAAACACTGAATGCACTTGACAGGCTATGATTTTTATGTATGTATATTTCTTGATCTTCCATTTAAGTACATTTATTATTTTTAGTTTTAGATTGTTGGCTGGATGGAGCAACATAGCACAAGATGCCAGCTTAGGATTTGGGAACTTGTGAAGGACATTTCTGATGTTTTGTAGACCAAATGATTGATCAGTTGTGTACAAAAATAACTAACAAATCCTCAACAGAACCACCCAAAGTATACGAAGAAGCATCCCGGAAATAAAGACATTCTTTAATTGGTGATGGTGCTTTGAGGAACCAGACAGCTTTTTTGAAGAACCTTACAAGAGGCGTTATTTTTCTGAGAGTAAGCCACGTCTGAAGCATGAAACATTCGTCCTGCTCCGGCCAGGATGTCTTTTGTGATGGCCTGGGGACAGCAGGAAGACGGCTTGGGGTCCTGAGGAAGCAGTGAGTAAGGGGAGGGAGGGAAGAAGTGAGGCAATGGAAGCGAAGGAGAGGAACAAACAGCTAGTCAACGCAAAACTATGTGGAGAAATGAGTAAGAAATAGAAAAATACAACCTGAGACAGACAAATATAGGCTCTTTTACATTAATAATAAAGCAGCCTATTAGGTCTGCATATGAGGTCGTGTGCTACAGATGTTCCGACATACGAGAGGTCATTTGAAGACGAGGTTGCTGTAATTCGCCGTGACAGCTACGGATGACTTATCGGGGAAGCGTAGCATGTAAATCAACCATGTTGCTACCACTACTACTGCTACAAGCGCTTCGGGCCGCGGCGGGGAGAGGTCCAGGGGAGCAGAGAGAGGCTCCACGGGCAAAGCAAGGGAAGCATGGACACACAGAGATATTTACATACAGTCAGACAGACTTCCTGGCATTGTCAGCCTGAGAGCGTTGATGTCAGATCCACTCCTTCCTGTGCAGAAGGGAGAACGCCATGCGATGACAATGGGCCCAAAACAGGACAAAGAGGAAATGTTTAAATTTAGGCCCCTTCTTCCACCATCTCCTCTTTCACGGCTATGGAGCTCTGGAGCTGTTTAGTTTTGTGAATTCCTTCAGTTTCCCCCCCTGAGCTCCCTCTCCCCATTGTGTCATTTCAATAGAAGGATTTTCACATTCAGTGCAAATCCCAAAGGAGGATCAGCTAGTGAGACCAGAGTTCAGTCAATCACTTGTTTTCACTGGTGTTCTTTTAGAAATTAGAAGTGCTTTTTTTTTTATGAAGCCATCCAACAAACAGTATAGAAGGTATACAGCAAAAAATCCCACAGCTATGGAAAGCAGAGCTACATTGTGGAGGATAGAAATAGGATTAAAAACCCTGCAAACGTCTCAATATTGTGCGTCTTAATATTGTGTATGTGTAGTGTCAGTTCCGGTATCATGTGAAACATTTCATTTTCATTTCATGTACAATATGTCAGTGTGATGTAGAGAGACCAGAGTTCAGTCAACCACTTGTTTTCACTGCTCTACTTTTGTAAACTACAGAGCTTTTTATGAAGCCATCCAAGAAATTGTATAGAATTTTTTAAAAAATGGAGGTATAAAGCAAAATATCCAATAGTTATGTAAAGCAGATGAGCACTTTAACCTCTTAGGACCTGGCGTCCACATGTGTGGACATCACATTTTGGGTTATATTACTACAGTAGCTAATTTTCTTATTTTTTTTATTATTATTATTTTATTACTGATATTTATTTTTTAATATATTTTAAATGTTTTTATATATTTTTTAAAAATATATTTTATTTTCTGTATATTTTTTTTCTTTTTTATTCTCTACTATTTGATCAGTTCAAATAAAATAAAAAAGAGAAAAATAAAACGTACATATCAAACAAGCGCTCAGGTCTTAAGAGGTTAAAGAAGGCTAGAAATAGGATTAAAAGCGCTGCATTTCAAACATTTCATTTCCATGTGCAGTATGTCACTTTCATGTCAGTGCAACATGCAATAGTTCATGATTCAGGTGCAATATTTCCATTTTCCACATGTGACATTACTTATCTTACCTCATTGTCATTGCCAGCACTACTTTTTTTTACTTTTCTATTCTTATTTTAGCTCACTTATTTCACTTTCAGTAATATATCCTACTTATATCTCATTATTTTTCTGCTAGGTGCTGCATTTCTTACGTTTTTTTTTTTGTTTTGTTTTGTTTTTCTCTTAAAGTCTCTCAAAAGAATTTCCTTTGGTATAAATACATGTAATTGTAGAATGTTTAAGCTCTTATCGCGATTTAACACAATTAAAATAATGGCGGTGTATTTTTAATGCATTGTTTAGTGTGTGTGTGTGTGTGTGTGTGTGTGTGTGTGTGTCCGCGTGAGAGCTTTATCACAAATCAAGAGTGTCGGCGTCTGCAGAAGCTCGCGGGGCAAGAGTTCACCGGTCTGTCTAACGCGGGGAGTTTCTCAGAGTCTGATGATAGCTGACGACGTTTAGAGACGAAACAAAACACAAAATAAGACAAGAAGAGACCAAACACATGTGATCTGCAAACGAGTCGCCGTCCACAGCACCAGCAGCGTCCGCCTTTTTTTTTTTTCTTTTTTTTGTCATGGATAGAAGTTAAGCCCGCAAAAGTACGAGCGGATAAGTTTATCCGGCGGTGGGTTCTTTCTTTTTTTTTTTTTTTTTTATTGACTTTGAACACAGCAGCAGCAGCCGCGATGCCCTTTTAAACTGAGGGGGGAGTTTGCTGCGGTAAGTTTACAGCTTTTTTTTTCACTTTGGGTGTGTAAAAGGAAAAAAGACAGTTCAGGTTTGGTTTTCTTGATAAGCAAGTTTGTGAAGTTGTTGAATTTTAAGCCGCAGCCAGGACTGACTCATGGCGCTTAAATTGCTATTTTTTAAAAAAAAACTGACTTCCAAAGAAATGTCACCAATTAAGCTTAATGTGAGTTTTATTGACGCCATTTTTTTTTAAACTGTAGACGCCCAACGCAGCCACAAGTTTTATCTTTCTGTCAGTTCAGTCTGAGGTTTCTGAGGTTTCTGCTGAGAACCGAGCTGCTGCGTAAAAGTTTGGTGACTGTGTAAGTTTTGGCAGCTACAAGTTAATTAATGGGTATTTTTACTGTTTTATATACCTTTATAACCACCAGGAAGTCTGTGAACAAACTCACCGACGTTATCGCATCATAATAGCTGGATGTTGACAGCTAAATAACGCTATTTTACATTTAAATACTAATATAAAAAACTCATATTGACGACATCACACTGTAACGACCGGATATTAATAAGTGAATAACACTTTAAACCTCACAGTTTGCAATTAAAATACTAACAAAAGTGCTTAAAAACTCCTGCTGACCTGATCACATCATAATAAGTTCATATTAGTAGCTAAATAACACTTAAAAAAAAAAACAACATTTTGCGTTTAAATACTAATATAAGTGCCAACAAGAAACTAGAATTAATGTCATCACATCATAATAACAGGATAACACCAGAAACATTACATTTCACATTTAAGTGCTAATATAATTGTCAATTAAAAGCCCAAATTGGCACCTTTCACACTGTACCAACTGGATAATAATAGCTACATAACCTCAAATTTTAAGTTTAAATATGAATATAAGTGCCTAAAAACTCCTATAAACTTTATCCCATTACAACAACTGGATATTAATAGCTAAGCAACACTAAAAACATCATATGTCACACTTTAATACTCATATAAGTGCCAGTTAAATACTTAAATTGACATTATAAAGCGAAATAGCTAGATATTAATAGGTAAATAACAGCAGAAACATCACTTTTTACATTTAAATGCTAAGATAAGTGGCAGCTAAAAGCTTATACTGACATTATCACAACATAACATGTATGCTAATAGCCAAGCAACACTAGAAACACCACATTTAACTTTTTAATACTAATATAAGTACCAACTAACATGTGTAGTTTGAGCGTTTATGCCTGTAAACTGTATTTTTGGAACCTCTGGAGTAGCCACTTAGCTTATCAATAAAAAGCTTATGAATTAAATTCTGCTAAGAGGCCGGCTTAATTGAAACGCGTCTTTGCTTATGATCTCGCGCAACAACAGAGATGTGTGCTGGAGGCTCCAATTACACAAGATGCTTCCATACATTAAAGGGATTACAAAATGGGGGGGCAATTAACATGTGTTGGGGCAGCACTGCGCTGAGCATCCTCTTCCTTCAGAAGGAGCTTATCTGAGCTGTGGTGATGTCACAGCTGGAGCGGGCCTGAAATAACCAGACATCTCTGGAGTGAGTGTTTCCATGACAACGCAGCCTCCTGGTTTAAATGGTGGACGGGGACTGTGTCTCAAATAATTACTTTGGATAATATGGACCAAATATGAGGGGGGCGGTGGGTGTTGACTCGTGGCACAAAAGTCCGTCTCTGAGAATCACAGAATGAGACCTCCAATGCTCTCGCCGTGTTTCTAGCGTTTAAGTAGCACTTCATATCTGTTATTCTTGAACGTTTGACCTCCAGTGTAGATAAAATACAGCTAATTAAATGTTCTCCGTGTTTAATATACTATATTTAGCATATGCGGCGTACATCTAAAGGCATTTCTGAATGTGTTACGGCAGGATAAGCTAAATATAAAATGACAAGGCAGTCGGTTTAATGTCAGATTTCTGAAATAAAATGTGATTTTCTTCCTGCAGGTGTTTGAGAAAGAGTGAGGCCTGAAACATGATGTCCATTGGAACCGATAGCTGACACTGTAGAATGAGAGAGGATGGAACAGACAGACAACCCTGCCCCTGAGAGCAACAACCCTAATGGGTTTGTCAACCGAGTGTTTAATGTTTCTCTGGATGTGGAGAATGAAACCAGCAGTGTTTATATACAGGAGACTAAGCCAGGGCCTGCAGAGGGGCACGGGGAGACCCAGGCTGCCTCGTCTCAGACCCCTGTCAAGGACAGACAGGAGGTCAACCGGAGGCCTCGTGCCACGGGAGGTATCTGGAAGATCTTGAATCGAAAGAGAGCCGTCGCAGAGCTCGAGAGGAGACCCCACTCCATGATCCTGCCCGGGGAGGCTTCCATTCCTAAACTCTCATTTGCTGACAAAGTTCGCTCTTTTAAGAAGCTTAAATCCCCTGCTGTGTTTAGAGGGAAGACCGGCAAATTGTCCACTGCCAAGTTTACCAGCTCCTTTGTGGATGAGGACTCTTTCTGCCGCGACATTGGCACTCCTCAACAGGCCAGCAGGGGCACGCTCAGACACCGTGGCAAGAGGCATTCGTATGCGGGCTACACGGCAGAATTCGACTGCTCGTTCGAAGACATTGACCTCTCAGCTCCTATAGACGGTCATCAGCCCGCTGTACTGGGAGAGGCTGTGGCTCAGAATGGCTGTAAACCATCTGAACGAGTTTCTTATGCTAAAAGAAGCCATAACAATTCAAGCAACTGTAACAAAAGCACTGCAGGTTGTGAAGAGTCCAGCACTAAGAGTAGCCCGAGGACCCACCACAGTGCAGGAAGGAGGCACAAAGATGTGTGGAGTTACCTGAGGAGGATTTCCCTTTTGGGGAAGAGCAATCCTGTCTACTCAGAGAGGAGCTTTGACTCTGAGCTTCACTCACTGGACAAAACCGTGGACTCAGACTTTGGTTCTGTAGACTTTGAGACTGTCAGAGACTGTCAGCCGCCGCCCCCGAAACACTCGGACAACAAGGGGCACTTTGGTGGCCTTTTCAAGTTTTTCAACAGTGTAGCAGAGACAGCCAGAAAATGGCGAACGACCTCACGCTCCTTCTCTCCTCCAGAAGGAGAGAGGAGTCCGATGAACTCCCCACAGGCCCCACAGCGCACAGTGGACAACATTCACAGTGTTTCTCTGACACTCCACAATGAAGGACTTCCAAAACCCCAGCACACCCCATCATCGCCAGTCACCGCTAATTCCTCACACTCGGGTGGCTTTGACGGCGAGACCCCAGCACCTGTGACGGGTGGACAGTCCCCTCAGGTGGTCCTGAAAGCCTTCAGGGCATGCCCAGGGTCTCGAGCTGCCAATGGCCTTCAGAGTTTTGAGCTTACAGACAAACCTCGAGACAGCGAGACAAACCACAGGTCGACAGCCGTAGTCGAGAATCATAACCCTCATCCGGGTCCAAACACGGAGGCTAGAAAGGAGTTTGAAAGGGATCAATCGAATGGTCTTTGTCGAGGGGAAAAGGTAGCGGGACAGACAGGAAATGAGCAGGATTCCAGGGATGCTCAGCTTGACTCCAACCAGATACAGGAGGCAAATGTCCAATCACAACAAGGTGATAAAGAAAGCACAACCAATAGCGTACCGGCATCAGATTCCACAGAGGAAATATTTAAGGTACGTGACTTTAAATAAAGAATGAGTTGCATTAATTAGCAGCTGCTGAATTTTAATAAATGCATATATTGAAGAAGTTAGTCATTTGTGTTGCTAAGCTACTGTTGTGTTTCTTTATATAGCATTTTCATGTATAATGTGCCACATGTTTATGCCATAACCACATTTCATTGCAGGCTTTTTTCCACATCATTAACATTGCCACAGGCATGCGTCATGTAATTACTGCATAAATGCTCCAAATATCATTTATGTATCTGCTTTAACCATGGTCATTCTTTTGCTTCTTCAAATCATCAACAACAAATGTTAATGGGGCCAGTGCCGTTGCTCATTTCTCACACATAGTCATAGGTGGTAGGTGTGGCACATTAACTGTCAGGGCGAAACAAAAACATGTAAAGCACCAGACTGTGAGGACGGGATTTGGGCACCCGCTCAGCCGCTGTCCTTTTGCCCCATCTGTTGGAGAAAAGAGGAAACAGTAATTAGAAAAGGTACACAACACCACACTAGAGGAGTTTGTCCTTTCTTGCTTAGCCAGCCTTTTGTCGCCTGCAAGGAAACCCTACGTTTTCCCACAGAGCTAGCCATGTGTGACTGCAGCAGCCCCAGGGGTCTGTGACGTCTGTGCTTCATGACAGCACCCTTCCCTTCTCACTCCGTCGGAGGAATTAGTCATCTTGCTTCTAGTCACACCGACGAGTCAGGACACGTTAGTCCCAACTCCTAATGACAAAATGAGATATGACATCTCAATACTCAGCACACTTTCGTAGGGGTTTATTATGCAAAGGCAAGGGCTTTTAGAGCATGTGTTTGGGTACGGCTGCTAGTGTCCAGTCCCACAATAACTCAGCGGGGTTCTGTGCTTACATTTATTTGCAGAGGCACTGATGCCCCTAAATGACAAAAAATTAGGCGAAGGGGTTTAAATGAAAGGACAAAGTGACACAACATATCTCTGAAATGAAACGTGTATGTATAAGACAGGGGAAAAGTGACTTAACTGCGAGAGTACTGAAGAATTTTGCGACTAAAGAGGTACTTGGGACCTTACAAAGGACAGAAATGCATTGTGCTTGATCAGTGAATCTTTTTTTCTGAACCACATAGCGTCTTAGGAATTCTTTCGAGGCTTTTGAACCTAGAGTTGGGATTTCCGCATTTTATCCAATCTAAATCCAGTGATGAATTCACACTTTTAATCTGAATCCTTTTAAACCTCTTAGTGAACCTATTTCTGTTCGACTTTCGGAAGCTCAGAAGTTGAAAACTGTAGGTTGAAAAGGCAGGCGCAGCTTTGAGTGGCAGCTTAATTAATGTTAGCAACCTGTAGCTACAACCTGGAAATGGGATAAGACAAAACTTAATTCACCCCCGGTAATTCTTTTTTTGTGCCAAAACTGCTCAGTGCACATATTTAAAATACGCATATAGCAGCAGAATATAACGCCTTTTGATTAAACATGTATTTACACATTGAAATTACATTCTTATGTTCCTCTACTGACTTGCTCCAAATACTGAAGGTCCCGATTAAGAACTAAAACTGAATCCATCGAATTTTCAGTTGAATTATATTTTTTTCAGCTGATGGTTTTCTAGAGAGAATTCCACACAGAAACACTCTCATAGGACAGTGGTGTTGTGGAGTGATGCTCAACTAAGACCATAAACAATTTTCAGATGAGAACAGGCATTATTGTTGTGTCAAAGCATGTTTCACACCCTCTGGCTTGCAGAGTGATGTGAATCCAGCAGTAAATTTTTGTTTTGGCCTGTGATCAAGTTAAGTCGTGGATTAACATAAGTTTGGGAACAGTGACAACAAAAAGTGGGAAGCAGCTACCTGAATGTTTTGTACACTGAGCTCTGATAATAAGAGTGTCAGAGCTCAGGAGTCACTCACGCCGGCGCATCCAAACAACGTGTCACATTCGCACGCTTGCGTTTGTGAGTGACATGTTTGCACTGTAGAAGCCCTGTTTAGGCGAAGCGATGGCCTTGAAAAATTCCACCTACGTAATCCTCCAACTGTTTAAAAATTAAATCCACCTGTCTGTTGTACTTATTTTTCTCTGAATTTTACCTGCCAACAGTCTTGGCACTTGGTTAGCTACTGATGCACTGCAATTAGGAACATGAGCTCCTGGCTGGCGCAATCTTTTAAAATGAAATATGAGGTTTATTTTCTTGAATCTACAGGGATATTTTTTCCCAGTTCCCTAGACAAGAAATGCATTGTTGCACCTTTATCTGGGCCAAACTGCTGAGTATCTGTGCCAATCACAGCTGTGCGAGCAGATTGCCAGCCAGACAGGCTGCAGTGTAAGACAGCCGGGCCCAGCCATGCCCCACTCTAGCACAGAGAAGACCTCTGTACCTCACAGGCGCTTGCGGCCTCGTCCTCGCCCGGCCTCAGCTGTACTGGACCTGTGGAGACCCAACCCGGACCGAGACCTCTACAACCATTATAGTGAGGTCGGCTCCATATCCCGGCGGAGACGCAGGCCTCCTTCCACCATGCAGCACTCTCGGACCGCTGCTCGCTCCAGGCCTTGCTCTGTCATAGAGACCAGTGTTACTAGGGAGACGCAGTCCACGGAGCTGCACCACAGAGTAAGATGTTGAACGACACGGGCATTCATGCATTGATTCACTGAAAATAAACATACAAATATTGCCACAAAAATGACACTCCTACAAGTATATCAACCCAGGCGAAGTAAAAGTATGTATATACAGCACACATCTCATCCTAGTGGTGAAAAAAAATCAAAGTAGGAGGGCCAAATCTCACTAGTAGTCTCCACCAACTCACTGATAAATATAGCTCAAGCCCATAATGAATCAAACACACACTCCAGACTTTGAAGGGCAGCCCAGTACTAACCCAGTATTTATATACCACTCACTGTTAGCTGCAACAATGTCTGCATGCTCAGCCTCATTTATAGAGGCCTGTATTTCTGGATGCTGCTTTTCCCTCAGCTCACTTCCTTCTCTCTCTCCATCTCTTTCTTTTCTTTTCTTCTCTCTCTCCCTCTCTTTCTTTTTTTTTTCTCTCTCTTTGTGGCTTCTCTCTCCCTCACTCTCAGTCTTTCTCTGTGGCCAATTTTCTGCCTCATCGCTCCCATAAGCTCTACTTCTCATTGCCCTAACTCAGAGTCAGTTCATTTTAACCTGAGAGACCGCCTGGTTGGCATGATGTATAGTCTCTCATGGTTTGCTGCAGGGCATGCACACCGACCAATGCACCAGAATAGACTTGCTGGATGTGAAATGCTTTAATTCACTGCAAAAAAAAGGGGACAAGGCAGTAAGGAAGAGGGTTTTTTTTTTTTTTAAAGTGAAGGGCAGGAGAGTGTGCATTCAACCTTGTGTGTGTGAGAGCGTGTGGATTGGAGTAAAAGTGTATGGAATATAGGAAATGTCCTAACTACTCAGTGCCCTGTAGGCCTTGTCTCGCCCCCCGGGTGTGTCACCGTTAGAGCCCCCGCACAGGGCGTCTCTCCAGCGGTGCCGCTCGCTGCCCCTGCCCCCCAGCACTCTCACTGCCTTGGCGCTGCTCCTGCCCCAGTCAGGTATCATTTTATATTTTTATTTACATTTTCATGTAGATTGTGATTGGATTTGCTAAACTGATCGTGTGTTCGTCCGTCTGTCCAGCACACATGGGTCAGTCGTCATCGTCTGTGCGTCTGCGGTCCGGAGGCTCCGGTAGCTGCAGGAGGAGGAGGCTGCTAAGACCTGGATCAGAACCGCTTCAGGTCAACATAGTGAGTCCGACACACCCCTTGAACACACACGCATATAAATACAGATTCTTGTGGTCGCTGCTTTTACCCGTATCTCTGCCAGACTCACAAGAGCTGTGGACAGATTTATAAAATGCAGTGTATGCACAAATGAGTAAAAAAACACACCGTAAGCACCGTGCACATGATGTTAAGAGCCTGTATATGCACACATGTCACACTGAGGCCGCTCACCTGACAAATATGGAGGATATAATTGAGTAGGACTGATAAATAACAGCTCACTGATACTGGTAATGTGTTGTTGACAGGACACCGGTCAATGTTTCATGAGATAATGAAGGAACTGATCCATGAAGATGGTGGCCATGTGGATTAATGTCACGCAGTACTCTTAGGCCATTAGTCATCGCGAATTGGGCACCCAGCATTTTCAGACGTGTTGCTTAATCTGACGAGTGCACATGCAGACAAGCCGGCTGACTTTCACAGTCAGAGAGAGGAATGACATTAAATCGTTTCTGTGCACCTGACGTGCTGGAATCTCTGGGAAGTGTCTACGAGAACGTGTCTTTGTCAGTTGTGTAAAATTAGCCTCAGAGTGTGTTGGAGTAATACTACTCAGGAAGTGAAACCAGGCATTTCAGAATCGATGCTTTGATGTGCAAGTGGCCTCAGGGGGATTCTTGCGGAAGGAGATACAGAGTTTTTCTCAAATATCCTGACAGGGTAGTGAACATTTCTGGGGCTGTGTCCAGCATCTATACCTACAGAACTGTAATGCATAGGACCAAGGCCATTTGCATATTATTTGATCATATTAAATTGAAACTCAAGTGAGTAGGTATATTCATTTCGCCATTTTTTTCTTTGATTAAAGTGGATTATGGGGATGTTTCACTATGTTTTCTGAATCCTGAATTCATATGCATATAAATGAGTAATATCAGAGAGATATTTCCCAGTTAAATATTAAATACTTTAAGTGGAATGTAACATATAAGAAAGAAAATGATAGCAATAGATTCGAATTCAAACTATTTACAAGCAGTCTGTGAGGATTCACCACAGCACAGGAATTACAACAAGTGGCCCATTTTCAAACAGTGATGCTGTGAGCCCTGAGCTTTCAGTCCTGACATGCCTTTGCATTGAAATTTAGTAAACTGTGTCTTTGAAGAAGTGACACTAGTGCATTTAGGCTTTGATTATAACTTTTTCTTGCTGATCTAAATAGTGTTTGTGAACCACTGCACGTTGTTGCCATGACACTCGCTGGCTCCTGTTCATCTCCTTGCTTCTATCTTTAGGCAGCCTTTTTAAGCGTGAGCTAAATAGAGAAAGTGTGTGGGTGAGAGAGAGAAAAAGGGGTGGGAGAGAAGGGAAGAGAGAGATGCTCCCTTTGTCGTGGCCCTCCCCTGGGGTAGGCAGCATGGACACATAGCGCTGGAAATGTCTTGTGTGAATGGCGAGGGAGGTTCATTCGTAGCCGAGCTGAAATGCTGGAATTCAGACGAGATAAGAAAGGATGCCTTTATGATATGGCTAATTTAAGATAGAAGTGAGAAAGAACAGCGAGCAAATGAGGATGCAGACATGTGTATGTGGTGACATATGTTGCCGCAGTAATACGACATGGTTGAAATGGTTGAAAACTGCGTGGATCTCATTGGGCCGTCATGGTTGGATTTGCTGTTTGTGATACGGTGTAGTGTATGTTACAGTCTTCCTGTTAGGATGACTATTGGAGCCTAGAGGCCGCAGGCAGAGAGAAAGCGTTCTCACTGCAGTGGATTAACTGTTAATGCTGACGCCTCTCTTCTCCCTTTCATTTAAATGGATTTCTCCCCCAGTCGCTCTCCTCTCCTCTCCTCTCCTCCACTACTCCAACAAACTATGGCGATAGCAGTCTTTAATTCCTATGCAGATGAGAGAACGGTTTCCTGTGTGTTACTAATGCTGCGCCCGAAGCGCTGCTGTCAACTTGTCAGAAAGGGGGACCGTCTTATTAAGGGCTTCATGCAGATTAAGAGTTTCAACCGAAATCTTCTATGATTAAGTTTGGGCCAACCTAGGTCTGTCTGGTCATAATCATATTATGCAATGCTATCTATTTATTATGAACGCATGAGTCAGCAGGCAGTGGCTAGTTGGGCAAATAATAGGGACGTGATGAAAGAGGACGATGTTCAGTTGAGCGGCTCCTTGTGCACACACTTATACGCATGTGGGCAGCACCAGCGCTCATGTTACATTTGTTAATTTAACCTCATGCACATAGACTCTGCTTGGATTTGTGTCCAAGGCCTTTGCCCCCCCTTGATACACCCTCTTCACAACACACACACACACACACACACACATACTTCACAAGCTCTTCTGATGTATTCAGAATTCATCTGTCAGGATGTGTGAGTCATTGCATTGACAACTTCATTATTTGGTGAGGAATGGATAGCACCAGCCAGTGATATCTCTATCAAACACACTGCCAATGTGTAGCATTTGTTTCACCCCGGGCTTTATTTTAGAGTCCTGGGAGGGAAAGCATGGGAATAGATCTTCTACAAAATAACTGCATGTATGTACAGTTTGCAGTCTGAGCCACAGGCAAACTAGAATCCTTTATCAGTGTTCATTCAACGTTGTTCCCCTGCCAAGGTGCGTATCTGCTGTGACTTACTGCAGCCACCAGCTAATGCTGTTTCATAGGATGGTGGTGGGCTCTGATAAATAGTAGTGCCTCTGACTGAATCTGAGCAGGTGGTTGTGTCAGACCTTCCCCAGGCTGTTTCTTCCTAAGAATGGGTTTCTGCCTGTCAGGTGTGCGCGCGTGTGTGCTGTTGTTAATGGTGTGTACACGGCCATGTGACTCCATGCTTACATGTAAGCTGAGTGTGTTTCTGTGTGTTACAGACACAGAGAGGCTCAGGGCCTTTCTCTTATATAACTGTTGAGAAGGTTTCCTTTGCTCCCTAGAAAATCCATTTCCACTTTTCAGATGGCTGCATGTTCCCCAGGACTGGAAGAACAGTGCTGTGTACTAATTCTCTGACTCACTGGTGTATCCTGTTTTACAGTATCTCAGCATTATGCCCCGTATTTTTGGCAGATCATGCATGCCTGTGCATGTGCAGATTTGTGTTTGTTTTTTCTGGGAGCACATATCTCAACAGGACCAGTATTTCTACCATTATCTCAGACAAACTATGTTCTGTTGCTGCCACAGGACGGTGGGGATATATTGGTGGATGGTTTCAGTAATATCGTAACATGCAGTGATCTCTGTTATGAGACTATTTAAGGCCTAAAGCACTTTGGAGCTTGTTATCGAGCACCAGTTGTGTCATTTCTGGTGGTTTTCCCAGGATGGTTTGCCCAAAGCCATCCATGTCTCCTGTTTGTATAACATGCTGTTTATTTTCACAGCTATTTGGCAGGTTGATATTAGGGATAAAGACTTTCTTTGGTCCTAAGTCAACACAGTCACCTTGTGGTATGTAACATGATGATCCCTTATTATCTGACAGCATCGTATTAAAGTAGAAACCCCAAAGGCAAGAATTGTTCCGCTGAAAATGTTCACTGTAGACCTCTTTATTTTTTACAACTTTAACTTTTCACCTGAGTATAGTAATAGTCTAAAACCAAATATTTCTGTATCTCATTATCTGATGACGCCTTGTCTTTCTGCAATACCTCACATTGTGGGGGGAAAGTTGTGTGGCTCTGGTCCTGGTACTGTTTAGTAGCACGTGGAAGGTGCTCGACATCTCCCTGGATTTGTTTTCTTAATATCTGTTTGCAGTGAAGTGATGATTTCTAAATTACATAAACTTTACTTTCGTACAAACAAAGACAATAAATAATTCTGTCTACAAAAGCTGGAATTTTCCTGAATTATTTTCTTGAATAACGTAATTAGTAACAGTTTGTGAAGTGCGAAATGACGAATGATGAACAAAAAGTAGATAATTTTAGTCTAAAATACGAAGTCAAACAGAATATCCTCGAAGTCTGGCCTTTACTATGCATCACAATTACAGCTCTGTGAAAAACACATTATATGCAATTTATGAACCTTTATTATAACCAAGCTTTATTTTTTTTGTATTAGAATACTTCTTACTCATTTAGTTTCTATTTGAGTAACTTTTCCATTCAGGGTTTAAAATAGTAAGCACATTCATATTTAGCACGCACTGTAATAAGGCTATACTGGACATTTTTATGACTTCAGAACAAATGTTGTACAAACAATGGATCATGAAGAGGGCAGTGGGTTTTGTGATTTTATTAGCATTTCAGGGGTGTTACTTGAGTGCTTTATTTTTTTGCATTTCAAGACAACTGCTCTGATCTGAATAACTTTCGGCAACTTCTCAATTGAGAATATGAAGTCTGAATAAAACACATAGAGTCGTCCTCAAATGTATTCATAGCCTCCTATTAAAGAAGGAAAAAGAACAAGTGTCACTGAAATAAGTTGAAATTGACAAAAAAAAATGAATTAATGAAAATCATGACGTTGCTTTTGAATTGTGGTTCAACAGAATTATATATAAGGAAAAAAAAACATGCAAACAAGCATGATGGGACCCGTAAAGTAATATTTTGTTGAACAACCCTTTGAGCCAATCACTGCAATCAACTCTCAATCAGACTTCTGCACCTGTTGACAAGTATTTTGGCCAAATGCTCATCAGCAAAGTGCTCTGATTTGTCAGTTTTTTTGTTTTTTTTTAATTATTTCTTTCAACCACAATCCAAAAGCAATGTCTTATTTCACTAAATTATAATTTAGCAAATTTTTATTTATTAATACTTCTTTCAGTTTCTAGTTATTTGAGTGACTATTGTGAATTTTGCCTTTTCTTTAATAGACGGGTATGAATACATTCGAGGATAACTGTAGCGCCAGCTCTGGTCCCTTTGTCCTGCCCTGAAATAATGAGACAGAAGCTAACTGCCTTTACAGTATTCTGCTAGTTAGAACATATCCTGCAGGCCTCTTGTGAAAG